TAAAATGATCTTAAATTTTTGCCAATTGGATGTTTGACTGGTGAAACTCATCAGAAACTTTTCGCCAAAGGCTGTCTTAAATGAAAAATTCTTAGACTTTTTTCATGGATTTGCTATCAAATGAAAACTCATGTAAGATCCTTGCTTTATATATTCCCAGCAGTATTGCTTTCTATGCCTGATAATATATGTCATTTTTAACCTTTAAGGAAAATTGAAAATGTCGTCTGCCTACGTTTATACTGAAGTTGAGCATGATGAAAAGCCAAAAGACCCTGAAGTGCTAGGAAATAGTGTAGATTCAATGACAAGCCAACCTCCTCCATATGAAGACATATCATCTGATGCGGTCAACTTTAAACCAGAAAGAAAATCAAAAATCCCTAGACAGCGAATAAACAGCGGTAATTTATTAAAAATTGCATGTAATTGCATGGTATGTGTATAATTACATTATATGCCGATATATATTTATGAGAATGGGAAAATCTTCCCACAAAGGTAAAATATGTAAACTGTTTCCCATTCTGTAAGTGTATATATTTAATGATCATTCTGGAAATGCCAAGATAGAATTTTGATGCATCAAAAGTAATTTTTGGTTGTAAACAACACACTTTCCTACAATTTTCAATGTTATCTAAATGTGATATCTTTTGAATTTCAAAAAATCGCCAGGAAAAAAAATGTCTTTTTTATTTCCTTGTTTATTTTTTATTTATTTATTTTTTTTTTTTTTTTGTTTTGTAAGATTTTTATTGACACTTGATTTATAATTGATTTACCTGCAGGTGATATGGCCTGTAATATAGGACCAAGTGAGGATGAGGAAAAAAATCCATCAGAAGTTTTCAACCTGTTTTCTGGCTTCATTCGAGCACACAGTTCACTGACAGACTTCTACGAAGCAAGGAAAAGCAAATTTTATTGGGTAAATTACATGCAAAGTTTTATTGTTAAATCATTATTTCATATGGTATGAAAAGAAGTTGAATTATTCATCACAATTGTAAAATTGGTTGAATCAACTTAAAGGGAGCTCAACCCTTTCACACTCAAAATTAACTGCTAGATATTTTTGAAACTTTTACATAATTATTAGAGCTTCAAATGATTTTGCATTTACATGGGTCATTGGGTCCATCTAGCCCAAAAAGTATGGGTCATTTTTCAAAACCATGGGCCAGCAATTCTGAATGATAAATAAAGACATAATTTTAATCAATATCGTCTGTAGGGTGTCAGGAATTTTCTTACCCAAAAATTTTCGTCCGAGGGGAATTTTCATAACACTATGGATATATATAGATAGGATGTCAACAACCAATTATAACGCCCTCCGCTGTGTTGATAATAAAAATTTGATGTTTTAGAAGTTTATACAATATAAATACAATAATTTTAAAAATTATTCAAGTTATGCATATAAACACACACTAAAAAAAGTGAAACTTACCAGTCTGGCAGGTTCTGTGAAGCCATCTATCACATATATCACAAGTGATGACATGTTGTCTAGGTCAGACTCGTTGGTTGCACACAATACACAAATCTTGATCTGCCATAATGCACAATGAAAGCGATTATGGCTCGGAAGCGATTGAGTGCCATATTTAAAATCAAAATCAACTCAACTCAGTATCTCCTTATAAATTTCATTCGTCAGTTAAACCAGAGTTGGTGAAACCTCCTCACAAACGCGTAATAAAAACAAAACAACACATTGATCATGTTAACAATAGAGTGTCTTAAGCTCGGTTATAACCGGAACAAGGACGTTAAGCTAAAAAAAAAAAAAAGATCATGTTAACAATCTTTAACAATTAACTAAAACAACATTGTCTGCTGGAAGTTCTAAAAACCATATACACCTTATACACACATAACCTATTCTATAGTACTACTATATAATAGCAGTACGAAAATTCTCAGGACGAAAATACCCGGGACGAAAATTCTTCGTTACGATAATTCCCGGGACCGTCTGTTGGGACAGTTACATTACCTAAAAAATATGAGTTTTTAAACATTTGCTGTTTGAGTTTGGCCGACAGACTATTAAATTAAACCATTAAATTCATTGGGTTTTCCAATGATTCAAATGCCTTCTTTCCATGCCGATTAAACATTGTAAAAATACCGAGCGACGAGAGGTACATGTAACGTCTTTATCCTATTTCGGACCCCAAAACACAACCGGCATTGGTTGACGTCATACTTACTTTCAATCGAAATAATTGTGACAGACTTTAATTCCGATACTGTGATTTCGGTAAAATATCATGTTTGTTCTGATTACAGACTGTTTTCATTCAACACTCAGTGTAATTAACCGTTTTACACCAAACCCGTTTACTCATTTCTCTTTTGTTATGACCGGGTCGACTCGTCACGAGCCAAAAAAATCGATATAATGCAAATGTCATTCTATTTTACTATTACGTGACTGACAGTAACACTACCTTTCTCATATTCGAAGTATTTACTAATAGATTCTTCTTTTTTCATAATGAAGTTGTCCATGACATCTCGTAATTCCGTCTGGCATTCCCGCAAAATATGTTGTTCGGTTGTATGATCTTACAGATTCGCGGAAAACTTGCGGAACGCAAACTACTTTCGTTTTAGAATATATTTGCCGTGCGCCAGCGGGCCCTTGTGGAAACGAAGTTGTGCATCATTTTCAAAATTTACGAGGGATTGACGCGGGCGCACCGTAATTCTGAAGCTCTGTTATTATGCTATATTGTGAATATGATTTTCTGAAATTCCAATGAGTTGCTAAATTGTTGGTGTGCAATGGCAAAAAACTGATATTACTTCAAATTAATTTGTTTTTAATTTTTTTTTCTTGTAAGGTTCTTGAAAGTCACAAAGAAACAATAAACTGAGAATAGATATCAAAACCTACTTTACAAATATACAAAACTATACTTACAAAGTGGGTTATATTTATATTTAGTGAACAGATTTGAATATTTAGATTTAAAATACTCACATGGCGCATAGCTGTAAAAAATAGAAACAGAAATGCTAAAGGTTTGTCTCCCTTGCAGTTGTCAAGAGCTCTTTTATTGGGTAGTATTGTTACATAACACATACACTATGCACATATACAGTCATAATAAATACACTTTTTGACACTGTTCTTACAATATAATGATACATACGTATGGTTCATTCATGCACTGTTCTTACAATTGTTTTTATGTTTTTCCTTAAAAGATAGATCTTTTCTTTTCTATTCATTCTTCAGTTCTTATTTTAATTATAATTGTTTCTACCAATACAGGCAGTTTCATCACTCACATCCCTGTTTCTAGTCCAAGAAACCAGACCAGAATGGACTGCAATGGAGTTGATTTACTGAAATAGAATTTTTGTATCTAAAATCATGATCTCTAATAATCTGTTGGTTTTCATGTCAGAAATCATGAGTTTATTTCACTTAGACAATTTTGTATTAGTTATCTCAAAAAATATTTAATCATGGACAGACTGTCATCTAAATTAAATGAAATGGGACCTGAATCAACATGTTTTCAACAAAATGTACACGATAATATTGCTTTAATTGGTGTATTCTAGGGTTATATGTGAAATGTCGAGAGGTTATTTTACTTTCATTTATTCTAAATTGATTATCAGAAATTTTGCAATTTTGAATTACCGAAATAGAGATGAATTAATCTAAAATCAACAATTTTTTTTCAGGAGAATGGACATATTTCTACTTTCTCTTTTTATTTATTGGAGTCACATGTAGAAAAGGGGGAGTTTATAATACCCAGGGTATAAAAAGATAAATTTCAGACAATGCTATGATAAGCCTATTCAATGTCAGAATTTTCAGCAGAGATCTGAGACCAACAAAAAGAAAAGAAATGACACAAATTTGGCTTCTTACCAAGATAATGGAATTTGAACCACTAGAGTGATCTTTGACATTCAATTGGGTTATATTGTATTATTTAGGGTTGTACTTCAGGGCTCTCACACCCCATTTTGGGACTGGGGCCCGGGGCCCCTTGGAATTGGGGAAAAATAGCTGTGTTTTCCTTAGAAATGGGAAATGTTGGGGTCTAAATTGGGAAAAAAAGATTCGGCCCCAAATTTGGCAGATCGAGAACCCTGTACTTAACTGATAAGCATTTTCATTCATTTTTTCAAAAGTCATGATTCATGTTTGTTTAAGAAGCTGGTCCTATTTTATGTCTGAAAGAATCAATTATACTCTGTATGGGTAAAGCCATTTCTGCATCATTTATGATCTTGTGATTGAAATAAATACAAGTTGGCACACATCTGCATCAACTCTCTATTTGAAATAAACGAGCCAGTAAATAGCCATGTATCAATAAAAGTAAAATCTTAAGATCAATAAATGTGATGTGAATAGATGTGAAATACCACTACTCTCCCTATTATCATGTAATAGAAAGTTTCAAAAATAATTCATACATCAATTGAAAATAAAATATTTTTAAAAGGTGCCTACAGAAACAGTCACAGACTGTATTAAACTGTGGTACAGTTATATAAATGATATAATTTTTTGTGATTTGGAAATCAGATTTATCAGATTATTTTCTATAAAGTTACACAGCAATGATTCAATATAATAATTGTGATATAAATAGACATGATCAACATAATTTTTCAGAATTCTTCATTCAAAGTCTTCAAAATTTATCAAAAACTGCAAATGTAACTGTTAATTGGTTATAAAAATAAACGAAATGGTCAACAGGTGGCCATTGTCCATTTTTACAATGAAAATTTTTATCATCATTTTTTTAATTTCTTGAAAAGTGTTGCACGGATCTTTCCCAAATTTCATTTGTAAATTCCGCTTATTCCCAAGTTGTGCCTGATTGATTTTGGGGTTTGTCTGAAAATAAGATGCCTTTAGATGTTTCAAATCTTTTTCTTCTATTTTTCAGGGTTTTTATACTCTTATTGCCGTGGCCTATCTAGTGTATTTTATTGTGGCAATCATCATGTGCAAAACCCAAGGTTTTCGTGACATCACCCCACTTGTTGCCCTGACCTGTGTTGGTGTGGTGATCATTGGTCTATCATTCATAAGTGGTCAGTTTGGAGAAAGGATACAGAAAACATTAATTCAGCCATTAGAAAACTTCATGAACGATAGGAAAAGGATTGTCAAGGTTGCAAAAGTGTTAGTATAACTATATATGAAATTATTTGTGCACCTATTTTGTGCAAACTTCCTAATTGTGAAAGGTTTTATTTCAAGTGCAGCACCCCTGTCCTTTTATCTATTTTTTTTGTGATTTTCAATATAATTTTGATTTCCGTGGAGTTTGGAGGAAAATTCATACCATAAGTATATGAAATATTTAAGGTAGGATTAAGTTTGTAATTAAGCAAATTCTATGAATTTTGTCAAATTCAGACCATTCCAGTCTTTCATCCAAGGACTACAGGTTTTACTCCAGGATACCACTCATAGAATTTATAATTGATAATTTGCTCAGAAGCAGTAGGTTGGAAACTGAATGATGAATCAAAGGGTTTATTATGGAGTCTGGAATAGCCCTAAGCATATTATGCACAGAATGGATGATAACAGCCGAATATGAACAAATTCTTTGAGACAGCCAACACGTTTCATACAAAAATACTTGAGTCAGTTTTAAAGTTGAGCAAAATCCTCATTCAAGTATGAAATTCATCCAAATGTAACTCAGAAAACTGACGGTTTTTGTTAAAATATGAAGGGAATGAAATTTTAATTGTTAAATTCACTAGTATTATATAAAAATAAGAGGTGTATCACCTTAAATACTATACCTGGTATATAAATTATGTACTATCTGATGAGCTCTGCCAGTTAGTACAAATTGTTTCCTACTGATGATTTTGTCAAGAGTAATCCAGTCAGAAATCTAACCAACTGTACAATATTATATATGCCTTATCTTCTGCAACTAAAAAAAGATTATTGTTATTCTGCCTCAGATAGTTCTCATTTATGAATGTGAAATTAAATAAAATCAGGTAAGAGAGTTTTGAGAAACATCACTTTGGAAGAAATAGTAATAATATTTTCCTTTGATTTCCACAGATTGTTAATGTTATGTGTACTGGCTGCCATTATGGTGATCATTGGAACATCTGTATTGGTGCGACCACAAAACGCTGTCTCCCTTGTGGGAATTGTGGTCTTTCTGCTGATGATGTGGATATGTTCGGCCCATCCTACCAAGGTAAAGTAAATATGGGATCACAAATATTGAAGTCAGTTTTGTTAAGAATACTAAATTTTTTCCCTTTGTTTTTTTGTCCCTGTATTATACAAATTTCTCACACTTAGGTTACTATGTATAATATAAGATCTTTCACAGAAAATTGGATGGTGTCAAGAATTCAACAGATGTAAAATTCATTCAGTCACTTGACCATGATTAACATGCTCTTAAAATTTTTCATATATTTTGCTTATTTTGTTTATATATAGGTTAACTGGAGACCTGTAGTTGGAGGATTGCTGCTACAGTTTTTCTTTGCTTCCTTGATTCTCAAGCTGAGTGTGGGATACACTGCATTCAAGTTTCTTGGAGACAGAATCCAGATATTCCTCAGCTTTACTAATAATGGAACGCAGTTTGTGTTTGGAGAAAAGTACACTGATCATTTCTTTGCTATGAAGGTTTGTATGATGTAACAGTTTAAGATTTTAAAATCTCTTTGGAAGAAATATTTGATTATTAGATTATGAGATTCTTTCATTATGAAGTATTGCTGATAAATTTTTTTTTTTTTTTTCCTATCTGGAACTAATATGCTGCCTTTTACCTGTTCATTTGTGTTGGGTTATCTCCCTTATTTTTCACCAGCATTTTTATTATTTTTATTATTATTAATCAAGTAGGAACACATTCTTGAGAATTGTCAATAAATTATTCCTGCTTTACCATTGTATAACATATTTGCTGACGATATTTTTTAAAAGATCTGCACATCTCGGTGAAATGTCATATTTTTCTCTTTGCTTTAATTTTTTTGTCTGTTTGCCAGGTTCTGCCAGTCATCGTTTTCTTCAGTTGTGCAATCTCTGTGATGTACTACCTGGGAGTGATGCAGGTTGTCATTGGAAAAATTGCCTGGCTCATGAGAGTGACCCTGGGAACCACTGCTGCTGAATCTTTGTGTGCTGCTGGAAATATATTTGTTGGCCTGGTAAGCTTTGACATAGATTTGAAAGATTTGTGACAGTGGGATGTGTTGTAAATCGATCTGTACCGTTATTTTTACAGCTATGTGAATTTTTCGTTCACACACATTTAGACTAATTGTAGAATTTAGTACATTAGTGAACAGTTCTCAAAAGTGTCAAATTTAATTGATTTCTCTTATTTTGTAATTCCAAATTCATTATCTTGGTTTCAGGTTTTTTCCTCATGAATTATTCCAAATTATGAAACTAGAGGGTTGTAAGTAAAAATTGTCGAAATCTTTGATCCATTAACATCTGCTAAATGCAATAATGAAATGAGGTTTTTTTATGTCTTCAGACTGAGGCACCCATCCTGATCCGGCCTTATCTGGGCGTAATGACAAAGTCTGAGTTACATGCAGTAACTACATGTGGATTTGCCACAATTGCTGGAGGTGTATTGGCCGCCTATGTGGAGTTTGGGGTATGGACTTATCTATTGTATATGTATATATCTCCATGGTAATCTTATTTTAGCACTTTTCGTAATCAAAAGTACTATAAACATACTTAATTTGGCTCCATCAAATTTTAGCTCAAACTTACGTCTTGGTATATCGGTGCAATGATGAATTTAAGCATCCACAATAATTTCTATATAAGCAGCTTATAGAAACTGCAGTTATCTCAATCATATTTAAGGGCAATACTTTCAGTAGAAGTGCTAAAGATAAAATTACATTTATAATATATATGTTTAAAGTATTGTGCTAAAATATGATAGCATTATCAGGTGTTGGGCAATTCATATTGTCCTATGTCCATGGTCCAGCTGTCTGTAAACAGTTTTTGTAATTGTTATTTCTTAAAAAGTACTGGATGGATCTTTCTCAAATCTCTGATGTAGGTTCCTCTTGGTCCCTAGTTGTGTCCATTTTATTTTTGGTCTGGTCAGGTGGCCGTCTTAGATTTTTACAATGAAATTTGTTATGGCTATTTCTGGAGAAGTACTGGATGGATCTCTCTCAGATTTCATATGTAGGTTTCCTTTGTCCCTAGTTGTGCCTGTTTAATTTTCAGATGGATTGATAAAACAAAATGGCTGAGAGATGGCCATCTTGGATTTTGCTTTGTAAAGTTTATTATGGCTATTTCTTCAATGAAGTATTTAGTGGATCACTCTCAAATTTCATGTTTAGATTCCCCTGGGTCCCAAGTTGATCCTGTTTGATTTTGGAACTGATCAGAAAAATAAAATGGTTTCCAGGCAACAATTTTGGATTTAATAGTGAAAGATTATGATCATTAATTCTGCAAAGGAATGGTCAAATTTCTTATCAATAAGAGTTGGACAAAGAGGAGAGAAAAAAGGGAAAGGGACCCAACTTTTAAAGAGCAAATAAAGATCAAACAATGGTGGGTGCCAAGATCCCTCCGGCATCTCTTGTGTTTATTAATAGTTATTGTGAAAACTAAAATTTAGCATATTTGTGGTAAGTTGTTCAGGATTGATGATGTGCAAAAATTTGATTGCTCTAAAATAAGTATGCTTATAGTAATATATATAGTTATTTCAGTGCTTAGCATTTTTGTGAGAAATTTAGGTTACAAAAATTTGTTTTCAGATTTTGATAGTAAAGTAGCTAAGAAATGACTTAAATGAAGCTGCTCGCTTGTCTCCAAATTTAAAACCATTATAGTAACAGGTTGATGGTAGTTTTAGTTGATGATATAATTTGTATATATGAAACAACCTATTTGATATGACCAAAACATAAGGAAAACTTACCAATGAATACATGATTTATTTTGAATGCTATAATTAGTTTCCTGTTACATTTGTGCACTGTTGACTTTGTGTTACAGTGTAATGATACAAGCAGGTAAATTAAATTGTCAAAGGTTGTAGGCTGGTTTTCATACCTTTAATGCTAGCCCAAATCATAATGACAACAACTTCATCCAATATACAATACTTGCATGAAATTCTTTTGATTTGTCAATTAAAATTTTAGTCCCAAGAGATCCTGGAAAAAAATCACAAATTTATATATCAGATATCTGTTTTTGATATGAAACTCCCTAAGTGATTAAGTTCTGAATGAAATAACTTTGGATGCTGAAATGACATATTGCATCAATTACAATTGTCTGTAATATAAAATTGTGTTAATCATTTATGTAGGTGCCCGCAGAACACTTGCTGTGTGCGTCTGTAATGAATGCTCCATGTGCGCTGGCTATTTCCAAAATCCTGTACCCAGAAACAGAAGAAAGCAAGCTGAAGGTCTTCCCTAAGAGTGGGTCAGAGCCTACAGCAGAAGAGTGAGGAACACATTTTTTATTAAAATGCCAACACTTGCCTGTTTGTTAACATGAACTACTGGAAAGTCATTGATGTTTGTGGGAGGTCTATTTTTTTTATTTCGTGAATCCATCTCCACAAATCGGTAAGCTGTGTATGATGTACCGGGGTTCGAATGCTGTAAAGTTTCTGTTATAAACAACCTTGAACTACTTTTAAGGTCACAGGAGTCTTCTTAACTTCCGTACCCAGGATCCTTATGTTTGGCCTGGGATGAAGTGCTAGATACTTCCCCTTAAAATAATCTTATCCAATTCTCAAGGCCTTAAGTGTCAAATGTGTTTAAAACATGTAAGAATCTCTTCAAATTCTATCAGATCAAGGGTACTCATATTATGCCAGTAGGTACCCTGGTTGGTGTGGTATGAATTCTCTTCATATTAATGACCATTACCATTTCCTAGGTCACAGATCATAAATTTGTATTAAAATTGAAAATAATTGAAAAAACTCCTCATGTATATAAATGGAGTTACCGTTAATCAATAGGTCTATGAAAGATTTGTTAATACAAGATTGTTAGATAATTTTGAATTAATTTTTGATGTTTTCAGTATGGAAGAGGGCACAGACATAGATACCTGTATAAAGACTGAACAACCAAAGTAAGTATCATTTTACACTATAGTGTAATTTGGTTGAAATCATGTTTGAGATAAATGTGGATTTTATCAACCATCTGAAGGAGATAACATGATCATACAAAGGCCTCTTCTACTTCCTTGAGTGGCCCTATAGACAGGCTGACTTTTGGGTTCAGATATTGAAGAAATCTGAATGTTTGTAGTACATAGGCTTTAATTTGATACTAAACCACCATTTATTTGTGGTTAACTGACATGGAGTTTTTGTATGGTATAGGGAGAAGAATGTAATTGAAGCTGCAGCAGGGGGAGCATCTGCTTCCATTAAACTTGTGGCTAACATCGCCGCCAACCTCATTGCCTTTCTGGCCATGCTGTCCTGTGTGAACGCCATCCTTTCCTGGTTTGGTAGTTTTGTTGGTATCAACAATCTCTCCTTCCAGGTAAAAATTGTATCTTGTTACTTCTAATTTAAGAAAAAAAACAGAATTTGGAAATTATCACATTTGAAGCTGTATTTGATTATTACAGTGTTATCAGAAAGTGAAATATGAAAAACGTTTTAAAACTCTCTTAAGAACAAGCAAAAAAAAAATTTATTTTAAGATTTCAAACCGTTAAGACATGGTTTTGTTCTCCTATAAGGAACATGCTTGTGTTTAATTATGGACTGTAACAGGAAATAAGCTGACAAGTAAATATACAGGTTTTTATACTGAAAACCACAGCATTCTTTTGCTGCTACTAATATTTGTGTTTTTAGCATCACAACAGGTTTTAGGTGATTCACTCTGATGAATTCTGAACCACCATGATTGTAAAAGTGTTCTGTCTTAATTTTTGCATCAATCATGAAATTTGTGAAGAATAAAGTTTTCTAAGCCATCAAACTTTGTTATTCCAATCATATTAGTTTTAATATTTTAAAGATTTTAAACCAGAATGAGAAAATGATTGGCGGACATTTGTAAAATAGTTTCATTTCACTTTAGATGATCTGTTCATACCTTCTGATGCCAGTGGCATATTTGATGGGAGTGGATTGGAATGATGCCAGTGTGGTAGGTGAACTGATTGGAGTCAAAACCTTCCTGAATGAGTTTATTGCTTATAGTGAACTATCTACATACATCAAAGCAAGGGAGGAGTGCCTTCCTGGTACAGTCATGTCTGTAAGTATATTCCAACAATATACTTTCACCTTCAGGGCTCTCACACCCCATTTTGGGACTGGGGCCCAAGGCCCTAGGCCCTTAGAATTGGGAAAAATAGCAGCGTTTTCCTTAGAATTGGGAAAACTTGGGGTCTAAATTGAGAAAAAAATGATACTATTTTGCATTGGGAATGGGGCAGATCGAGAGCCCTGACCTTTATACCTCCCCTCCCATTTGATGAGATGGGATAGGAGACCATACTATAAAATCATATGTTTTCAAGGGATTTAATTTTCATGGTTTTCCAAAGAAACAATCTTATTTCATGGACTTTGATTTTGTGGATAAATATAGCTTATGGTTTTGATGGCGGTTGGCCTAGACATCCGAAACATGTCAACAAATCAAATCTGCACCGAAGTCACCGAATTGGTGTTGATGCTCATCCTCTATTTGTTATTTACATGTGGACATAAGAATTTGTGAAAAAAATCCCCAATGAAAATTAACAATTTGACGGTATAGTGTTACCATACAATGTCTGTGTTGTTCCTGATTAAATGTTGCCAGATATCATCACACTTTCTACTTTATTTATTAGAGATTTTGATGAAACATTATACACAGGACAAGCTTAAAGATACACATACTATAGGGATTAACCCTTTTATAATCATGTAGGTCACCTTTATGATTTAAATAATTTGTCATGGGTCACTGACATCTTGAATACAGTCTGGTTTAAATGGAGATGGATACTCATAAATGATGCGTTAAGTTTCCACCAGGAAAAAATAATGTGAAAAAAACAAAAAATTTTTGTTGCCAAATTTTCAAAACTCTTCATCTTACAAAAAGAATTCATTATTACATTAGAAAAACAGAAGATTGTTAAAGAGGAATGTATTCATTTTAATATATAATGCTTGCCATAATTTCTATAATGTTTTTCCTTTCAGGTGAGGTCAGAAGTAATAGCAACATATGCTCTCTGTGGTTTTTCTAACCTTGGCTCGATTGGAGTAATGTTGGGAGCACTGGGTCCTATGGCCCCTGAACGCAAGGGAGACTTGGCTACTGTGGTGATGCGGGCACTCTTAGGTGGTATCGTCACCTGCCTCCTCACCGCATCCATCGCAGGTAAGTTTACATATATTTACCTTCACTGAAATTAATTAATAGGAAACAAATGTATTTAGGTTTAGGGAGGCTGTTCAAGAACCATTGCAAATCTCCAGTTAAAATCTACTAATTAATATTATAATATTAACAATTTTTGTGGGTGATTTATTTTAATTGATTTCAAACATACTCTTAATTCACGAATATATATGTCCATGAACTGTTAAAATTTGTTTAAGTAGATTGATTAAACTATATTATCCATGAAATCAAGTGTCCACCAAATTGTATTCTTTTAAGAAACCATGCAAATTGAGTCCCACAAAAATATAGGATTTTACAGTAAATCGTTGTAAGATTAATGCTTTTTTTTGTCACAGATTTAAACTGATCAGATTAAAGCTTGATTCAAAACTTTAAACACTTTCTACTTCAGTAGAGTATATGAATTGTTAATATCTGGAACGTATGATTAAATTTTAACAATATCCTCCAATAAATTCAGGAGAATAAGATTTTATCATCCTATCTTTATTGATGATCCAACAGGATTGTTGCTGACAGAGTTCCCTGTCTCAGCTTCCTGTCTGATGCCAAACATCACATCTTCAATCCTGCAAGGAAACAATACTGTGGAGATGGTGCTAAACATTACACAAACTGGAGGCTTGTCCACTGTGGCCTACAACACATCACTGCCAGCTTTATAACAAAGGCCTTTGCTAGGCCTATAAGTGTAGTTTGCATTTTCTCAATATTCACTTGGATCATTTAGATGTGTCATGTAAGTCTTCTGTTTTGCATTTAATTATGTACCGTTTTGTTGATAATTTTTTTCATTTTTAATTAAAAAGTTTTATCTATCCAATTATGGAATACATGAAATCCAGAAATAGGATCCAGTGTTCTCTCATAGTTCACAACAAAAATTGTAAATGTTACAGAATTAGGAGAGAAATTAATATAACTGGATATTCTTATTTATTTTTTATCAATAACTTTTTAAGTATTACTCGGAAGTACTGAAAAAAACTAGATAATGTTGGTGCTTACTGTCAATATGTCCACTGACAAGGAATTCGATGATTATAATTCTATCTGATTTCTCCAAAATGTTTCCATAGATTTATGGTATTTTTCACATCATTGAGATTATTTTTATTTAACATTTGTTATGAAATTTATTTGGATTTAGTATTACACCTTAAAATTCAATTTTGTAATCCGTTGTACTCAAAGATAGCGATTGATATGAATCCATGGAGACCTCTTTAAAATGGTGTCTGCTATCTGAATTTGTTGCTTTTAGATGTTGAGTTTGTTTATGTTGTTATTATATTGTTGTTCTAGTGTCCCAATTTTTTTTAATTAAAACACTAAACCTTCTGTAATCTTTATGTATTTCAAACATAGATATCTTTTCTTGTGTAACTAGTTTATTGTTTTGTCACATATTATATACAGTCAATTCACCCATGTACTGTATACTGGGATATTTTCACTCTTGTACCATTATACACTAATTTCAGCTCATGTTCATTTCATCCTCTGAGGATTGTACTATTTAATAAATGGTTATATGATTGCAACAAATTTCTGCTTCCATCTTAAATTCACCCTCCCTGTTCCCGGTATACACTTATAGGCTTGCATGCCATTAGTTATAATATACCCTGCAGCGTTTTTACTGGGCGGCATCACTCAGAAATTAATTGTGATGTCATAGTATGAACAATAATATAACATCTTGGATGAAAAATGGCACCATAAAATAGCTGTGTCTTATTGATATTTAAAATAAAACTCATTTTGGATTTTATCCACTAGATGTACTGGGTACAAAAAATTGTTATTTTATGCACTAATTTTTTCAGAAACTGCCAAATTTTATGCTTGTTGTGCTTTATATTGTAGTTTAGAAGTTGAGAGTACAGGTCACTTAACTAGTGGTAGTGGGTATTTCCTTTTAGTCGAGCGACAGAGTGTCTGGCTAGAGACCTAGGGGTCACTGGTTTGAGCCCCAGCAGTGGCAGGGTGTTATTATTACAGATTTATTTAAATTAATTACTATTTTACCTGTCAATATTCCACAAATTTTGACATTTAATGTAAAGTTCAATGTCACTTGATATTAATTTTAAAAGGTGCAATTTACCAGTCATGGTAACAAGTTATCAAACAAACTGTGTCCAGAACATTACAGTCTTGTTTAATTTGATAAAGGCATTGAAGAATGTAGTTTTTAACCAAACAGTCAGTGTACCTAGCTACCCCAATTGCATTCCTGATGTGGTATATCACTGTAGTTTTTTTTTATAATCTCTGCCTATTGATTAAGTGATGAAGTCAGATTTGATTTGAAGACATAATCTCCTTACTCAACATCATACCGATCATGGAAATGCCAAAAATTTAAATGCTATGTCAAATATCAAGAAAATGCTCTGTATCTTGAATCTCAAATATTGACTCTCTGTAGTGGACACTAAATCACATTTCAGGAACATTGTCTCATATTTCAGATAGAAATGTAATTTTGCATCAGTATGTATATTTCTTCTCTCAATGATATGGGCAGTTGTGTCTAAAAAGTGCCATATGGTACTTGTATTAAGAAAAGTTATACTACTGTATTTGTACACAAAACACTTGTCAAACAGTGCTAAAATCATATTAAAAGATTTTTTTTAAAGCTTTTCATAACTGAAATGTTGCTCTGTAATAATTTCATACATATATAATAATAAATGATAAATCCTGAACAAGCGTAGTACTGTAAAAGTGGTCATTTTGGGAGGAGTTCTGTTACAATACAAACTTGTGGTTAACTTCTGCAAATTTATAGTCATCAAAAAGCATTTTCACATATTTATCAAATTGTTTTTTTAATTATTAGGAATGCATTTATATTCCTTTCTGGAGTTATTCTCTGAAGGATGTATCCAGACGTTATTTCCAGTGCAATGTTTTCTTACTGGTAATGAAATGATTGCCATGCCAACTAACTATTGCTATCTTTGTTTGGTTTCTTGTTCTCAGTAACTTTACAAGTGGTTAGTTTTAAGAAATAATTATCTGAAAATCAACTTTTCGTTGTATAATTCCAAATATTTCAGAGTTGATTTTGCCAGCGATTGGCTTTTATATCACTGCTGTTATACCAAAGGTTTTGTTATCGGGTATATACCATAAAATACATTTTATATAATTTTTTGAGATTAATCCATTGATTGCATGTGCAATATTGTACTTTTTTAAAACAAATGTCAGCAATAAGAAGAAAAACTTTTATCCTCTATCAGCATCAGTTATACTGAGGTGTTTTTACTTTTCAGCCGGGCATTGTCAACATGTCTATACCGGGTATTTCTATTTAAATGAGATGCTAAGTGTCTACGCAGTAAAATGAATTTACGTGTAATATCAGCTTTATTCATATTACAACAAACTGCCAAACAAGTTTACCAACTTACATTAATCACTCTACTCTTGTTGGTTTGAATGGTAGTGTGCGAGGGGACTTAATGTGGAAAGTAACAGAAATCCACAGGGAAGACCCATATTGTCAGGCAGATGACCCCTTACTTTCTCAGTGTAGGGGAATCAAATCTTGGACATCTAGGTGAAAAGTGAGTGTGTTACCAATGTGCAACCTGACCATCCAAATGAATCTTTCATTTTCCAGATTTTATTACTGGTATAAGATAAATGATATTAATCTGGGCTCCGTCCATCCCTCTGTCCATCTGTCCCAGGGCTTTTCTGGGCTATAATTTCTCAAAACTTGCGGTATAAGTTAGTACCCTAGTTGTGCATTTTGCTATCAACAAATATTCATTTGTTGCATTTTTCTGTTACCATGGAAACATATTCAGAAACTTAAAATTAGTGATATCTTTCCTACAACTTCAAAACCATTCCAGTCAATTCCACAAAACTTTCTTGAGGACATTTTATTATTTATCTTTTTCTGTTACCATTAAATTTTTCAATTTCCTGTGACTTACTCCAGAATTTATAGTGTTGCATAAATTTGTTCATGGACAATACCAAGCTATATCCAAATATCAACAGCCAAACACATAGAATCTACATCAAGATATAAACTCTTACTATAAGGTTGATGTATAAGATATACATATTATATATATATATATATATATGATGTTGAAGTTGAGGAGATGCAAGGAATTTAAAATGATAATTGACAAAAGATGTTACATGTTAAAATTTGTCTTATGGTATGAGAACCCTGTCTTCCATATTTTGCAATTCCTTGCCATACTTATTCTTTGTTATATTTGGTTATGGAAGATGTAATTTCTTCATGGATATATTTAGCCACAATAGTGACAAGGTCATTAATTGATTCATAACTATTATCACTGCAAATTCCCAAAACAGTGAGAGTAATTAAACATCACAGGCATCATTTATATACCATATTGGTCTTTTATCATCACAATGTTGTTGATTATTTTATCATTTTAGATACAAAAATCTCCTCATGATATGATACCCTAAAAACTTGGAAATTAGATACAGCTTAATTCGTAAATAGCAAGCAAATACAGATATACAAATATTTATTCTATAACTACATCCTACTAGAGTTGACAATGTGATTGTTGATATTATTTATTCTATAACTACATCCTACTAGAAGTGAATGTGATTGTTGATATCATTTATTCTATAACTACATCCTACTAGAGTTGACAGTGTGATTGTTGATATCATTTATTCTATAACTACATCCTACTAGAAGTGAGTGTGATTGTTGATATCATTTATTCTATAACTACATCCTACTAGAGGTGACAGTGTGATTGTTGATATCATTTATTCTATAAATACATCCTACTAGAGGTGACAGTGTGATTGTTGATATTATTTATTCTATAACTACATCCTACTAGAAGTGAATGTGATTGTTGATATCATTTATTCTATAACTACATCCTACTAGAAGTGACAATGTGATTGTTGATATCATTTATTCTATAACTACATCCTACTAGAGGTGACAGTGTGATTGTTGATATCATTTATTCTATAAATACATCCTACTAGAGGTGACATTGTTGATATTATTTATTCTATAACTACATCCTACTGTGATTGTTGATATCATTTATTCTATAACTACATCCTACTAGAAGTGAGTGTGATTGTTGATATCACTTATTCTATAACTACATCCTACTAGAGTTGACACTGTGACTGTTGATATCATTTATTCTATAACTACATCCTACTAGGTGACAGTGTGAGTTGACAATGTGATTGTTGATATCATTTATTCTATAACTACATCCTACTAGAAGTGACAGTGTGATTGTTGATATCATTTATTCTATAACTACATCCTACTAGAGGTGACAGTGTGATTGTTGATATCATTTATTCTATAAATACATCCTACTAGAGGTGACAGTGTGATTGTTGATATCATTTATTCTATAACTACATCCTACTAGAAGTGACAATGTGATTGTTGATATCATTTATTCTATAACTACATCCTACTAGAGTTGACAATGTGATTGTTGATATCATTTATTCTATAACTACATCCTACTAGAAGTGACAATGTGATTGTTGATATCATTTATTCTATAACTACATCCTACTAGACAGTGTGATTGTTGTAGAGGTGACAGTGTGATTGTTGCTATCATTTATTCTATAACTACATCCTACTAGAAGTGAGTGTGATTGTTGATATCATTTATTCTATAACTACATCCTACTAGAGTTGACAATGTGATTGTTGATATCATTTATTCTATAACTACATCCTACTAGAAGTGACAGTGTGATTGTTGATATCATTTATTCTATAACTACATCCTACTAGAAGTGACAATGTGATTGTTGATATCATTTATTCTATAACTACATCCTACTAGAAGTGACAATGTGATTGTTGATATCATTTATTCTATAACTACATCCTACTAGAAGTGACAGTGTGATTGTTGATATCATTTATTCTATAACTACATCCTACTAGAGTTGACAATGTGATTGTTGCTATCATTTATTCTATAACTACATCCTACTAACAGTGACAATGTGATTGTTGACAATGTGTAATTGTTGATATCATTTATTCTATAACTACATCCTACTAGAAGTGAGTGTGATTGTTGATATCATTTATTCTATAACTACATCCTACTAGAAGTGAGTGTGATTGTTGATATCATTTATTCTATAACTACATCCTACTGGAAGTGACAGTGTGATTGTTGCTATCATTTATTCTATAACTACATCCTACTGGAAGTGACAATGTGATTGTTGATATTATTTATTCTATAACCACATCCTACTAGAGTTGACAATGTGATTGTTGCTATCATTTATTCTATAACTACATCCTACTAGAATTGACAGGTTGACTCTGTCACTACACACTATATTTTACAGGTTGACTCTGTAAATACATACTATGTAACCACATACTATAGTTTACAGGTTGACTCTGTAACAAAATACTATAGTTTACAGGTTGACTCTGTAACTACATACTATAGTTGACTGGTTGACTCTGTAACTACATACTATATTTGACTGGTTGACACTGTCACTGCATACTATAGTTTACAGGTTGATATTGTAACTACTTACTATAGTTGACAAGTTGAATTTATAGACAAGATGATAACGTAATGGAGTACCTTACAAATTGAATATTATTTTTGAAAGCATTTTCTTTTTTGTTGTTTTAGCATAATTAGTTACTCTCTGTCACAGCTTTAAATGTAGTCTTTTCAAATACTTTATGGTTTTATTTTCATGTGGTCCTTTTTGACCTGATTGTCTTTTCTGTAAGTGTACTGCCAAATATACAACACTATTGATTTTTCTTGTGACCATGGCACGCCTGTGCATTATTGTTTTCACTATGTGTGGTGTGTTTTAGTGATATTTTTGTATGCCATTTCAATGCAATGTATAGTGTAAATGAATTTAAGATTTTAAGACTTTTCCATGTATCAAGTTGTAGAATAGGGTATTCCACCCAGGAGGTTACAAAATATTGTAAAACCTGAGACTTTGCTGAGGGATTTACCACAGTCTTTGACCTTGAGGGTGAAATATCCTGTCCTTTATCTCAACATATGTTAGAGTATTTTTCTCTCATTCCTAAAATATTGATAAAATATTAGTTTCAGCATCAGTAATATTTGATGATGCAATATTTGACAAGTTGACAGAGAAAATGAATTCTCCTTACCTAGAAAATGAAAACAAAATATAAATACTTAGTGCATTAACTATTTGTACACATGTGTTTACATTGTGTCAGGTGATGACACCAGTAAGGAAGGGACATGGTTACATTTCTATGCACACATGCCTGTATTGCATAGGTGTGTGTAATACAAAAACAAAGAACCTTGGTGTAGTGTCCTAGACAGACCAATATTTCACCGGTAGAAATGAGAGATCTAGAAATAGAATTTTGTCACAGACTTTGATCTAACTCTGTGATAATACCGTCTGTATACACCGATTGACTTCACATTTGTTTCTGATACGCATGTAAATGATGGTGATAGCTCTCGGAGGTGACAACTTTGGTTGTAACTGGCCAAAATATCCCAGGAATATATTCTAAAGTGGAATAGTTCTTCAATGATATTTTGTATAAGAAGATACATTTATTTGGTTTAAAATTCTTTTTTTTTTTTTTTTTTTTTTTAAGTTGGCATTTGATTACCTGGCTATCTAAAGCTCAGTATCATTGCTTACACTTATTTTAATAATTGGAAGACATGATGTAATGATGGATTAATAGTTGCTAAATCAACGAAAATGAGTCCCCCATGAAAATCAATGATTTTTGGAAAATCCTTGAAAGCCTATGATTTTACAGTATCAAATGTTTCAAAACTGGAAAAATCTCAAATGTTTTCCAACGTCTTTTTTGAAATTCACTAAACGGTCTTGTATCCGTGTCAGTTGTCTTTTGAAATTTCATTGTCATCAAAACACCTCATCCCAAAGTTTCTATAAAAAAAAAACAGCTGTTTCACTCTCTGTGAACTGTTTGTTTGAAACATAACCAGGACTTCAAATGATTATCCAGGAACAGAAGTACAATTATTGAAATGCTTTATATATGATGATATACAAGACTGTTCCATTCAGATGTACTGTAATAGAATGGACGTGTGTAAACACCATATGTCTTGTATAAAATCACTTCTGTCCTTTCAGCTTTGCATTTTGTGTTTTCATGTTGTAAATCATTTAAATTTTTCATTCATTTCTGAATTCCTTTCATTGTTTCCAAGACTTAAATTTTCTTTATCATAAATCTTAATACAATTCTGTAGAGAATAAATTGCATGTTTCTAATACAATATTCAAGGATCATGTGTGTGCTTTAGTAATAATGAAAAATATACTGATATTTAACATTTGTGAAAGAAAAAAGTGAAATGAATAAAGGAATCGATTTTGAACTAATCTTTTGTTTTTTTGTTATGGTGGTTGTGAAATTTCCCAAAAGCAAGGAAGAAAGAAAAAAAGGAACAGAAACTCTGATACAAGTTTTATTTCATATTATTGAAATTTGGCATTATGCAAAACTTTTGAGCTTTTGAGTATTATGCTTGTAGAAGATATCATTTTCACTGCATCACTAAACTTAATACAGTATGTAAGAGGTTCAAGATGATAGATTCCCATCTGTGTTAAAACATGTACATAATATGTATAACAAATATTTCCCTATTTTCAAATCTGCCTATTTGTTACATGAGGGTCATCACCTATTCTTCATATAACATTCCTTCATTCCAATCAAATTTAATCAAATTCACATATGGAATAAAGCCACTAGACAGCTCACAATTTACTGCAAATAACAACCTTGACCTTGCCCTTACAAATCTCAGACTCAAACTTCAAGATATTTTCATGCTTTATAAATATGTGAAGTTTGATGGGAACCCTTTATTGAATAAACCCCTACAGCACTCACAGTGGTTTGAATAAAGCAAGAGGTCCAATGGGCCTGCTGCACACACTTAGCCCTTCAGGTGACCTAAAAAAAAGTGACACTGACCTTTGCACACTTGAAGTATGCTGAGAATCCTTATAGGAATGAAGCTGCTTAGAGTGCTGACATACTTAGATGTTACACAATTACATAAAGACAGGGAGATGGAAAAGAAAACCATACAGTCACCTCTAGTTTCACTAGTTAGGGACTAATAACATAATACTCTTTCTCAATTAGAATTTGCCATACAATGTTACAGTGACAAAAGTACAAATTATATCAGTGGAACGGATGAATGCTCCCTGAAAATAATAATATTGGAGGCTTTTCATTCTTAAATTTTGTATTTGGTCATATAAGTCTGATACTTAATGTGCATGTCAATTATAGTAAGCACTGATTGTTACTAGTATGCATGTTACTGGCTTTGAAACTGATTCAAAAAAGACATTTGGTATGTTATAAATTGTAACTTTCATCAGCATCAATTCATAAAATAGTCTTGCTTGGAATACAAAAGGGCAATAACTATGTTATTAAGGGGTTGCAGGCACTGACTTTGGTACAATGTACATTGTCTTTCATTATCCTTGTTTAAATGCAAGTTGTGCTCCAGACTCAAATTTTAACAAAGGGCAATAACTCTCTAAATAAGGGTTGTGGGCCTTGATTTTAATAATAATAGTAATAATAATAATATCTTTTATTTATCCAGGGTTGCATATTTAGACAAATCTAGTTTACAATATGGCCCTGAAGTAAATTATATACACATATCACAGAAAGATGTTACATTGGATGTTACCGGTACATAAAATACATTTTAGAACACATTATATCACCTTAGTGTGACTGATGTACACAGCAAGTTCCATGATCCTTTCTTAAAAGCAGGTAAAGTTATGCTTTGAAAATGAAAAGGACAGATGGAAAGACGAATGGACAAGCGGCAACTATACACTCCCTCTGAATAATTCCTGAAGCATAAAAATTACTGGTAAACTGTGGCAAAAACAATGTGTGATACAGTATATATTACAATTAAATATCATATTTATGGGTGAATGATCACAACAAATAATGGAGCAAAAACATTTCTTTACATTACAATACCAACACATTCTCTGTTTTATATAAACAATGTAGGCTAGGGTTTATTGTACTGGTATATTAGGTATTAACATTTTATAACAATGATGTAAGCAGAGGTCATCATTTATTTCATTGTCTCTAACAGGGATCATACCTAGGTCCTCTGTCTTACTAACCAACAACCAAGCTAGAGCGAATACCTCTTTAGCCGAGCGGAAAACAGCTAAATATGTTATTGAAACAAACAGTATCTTCTTCTAACTTAAGCTTTATGTGACAAAAAAATCATGCCACCCCTTTCAAGCAAATGTACATATTTGTTGCCTTTGTTGTAAGGTGGGTGTGCAAGGAAAAACCAACTGTTCTCGGTCATTAATTCTTTTAAACATTACACTACTTAACAATGTTGGTAAAGTTTGGTGACTGTGGTATATAACAGCACACATAATTACAGTATGGTTATTCATCAGAATTGGTTAACAATAGTAAATAACCCAAAACTAACAGCAAGTAGAATATCACATGTCCATCACATTTTGTACATATTGGATGATTTTGATTTATCCTCTCTCAATGAGCTGGTGTTTATGTATTCTTTTTAAATAAAACGATTATTGGTTCAAATGTCAAATACATACAGAATGAAAAAAAGCACTATGCTGACACATCATAAATGATATCAGCTAATCAATATTTTTTACACTGTTTATTGAAATCTCTGAAAAAAACTAAAACACTTCAGTTGGAGTTTGAAAGGGTTCTAAGTTATGTCATGGCTTGAACGAATATTCTGACCTTTGACCTTGAGGTCAAGGTCATAGTTACCTAATGACCATAAACTGCACATCGGCTATAGGTAACCAAGGTATACCTCAATTTTCAATAGGAAATCTTTAACATTTTTAAATGTTATTGCCCAGACAAGAAATTATTGAAAAAAATCATGCTCATTTGACCTTTGACCTTGAAGGCAAGGTTAGTGACCTAACAGCAGTTCACTGCACATCTTCTTGTAATAAAGATGTACAGCAAATTACAAAAAGGAACAAGGAACCTTTATAAAGGTTTCAAACAAGAAATTATCAGTATCCTAAATAAGAACTAAGAAACAGAACAAAATGAACAAATATTAAATCAATGTCTCCCTTCAATCATTCAAAGGGGCATACGAAAGCATACATATAAAATACACATGGAATATTGTCTTTATCACAATGGCACAATATAGATAAGTCATGGAAAGCCTCCCTTCCAAACAAGCAACGAACGTAGCACATAGAAGATGACAAACATGAAAGATAAACTTCCATTTTGCTGATTATACAAATAAACTGGAAAGTCAATCTTTTCAAATGCAATTCAGGAACATTAAAAAGTTGGGACACATTTTTAATGTCAATCATTTCACAATTCATCAAAATCCTGGCAATTCACTACTTTCATTTATAGGAGAATTGTTTCAGGATTCGGGACTGTATCTCTAAATGTCAAGAAGTGAATCTACTTGGCAGATACCTTGGGTACATGCATTAGTTGTACGAATATTATCAAATGTGTTAGGAAGTTGACAAGCTTAAATCTATAAGAAGGTGCTAATGTACGTCCTCCAGATGCTCACAGTTCAAACGCTGGAAATTTAGCATTAGAAGGATCCAGTATATCAATAAGGAAGTATATAGTGCCTGCCATACCTGGAAAGAAAAGAATTTCATCAAAACACAGATCCAGTGACAGGTTAGTCTGCAGTAATACACTATCTTTAAAGATACAATCATGGGAAAAGATCAAAATTACAAAACCTTGTGATCACAGTCTAAATACACATGTCCTCTTCATTGGTAAAAAGTGATTTTTCAGTTCCTCAAAAACATAATTATTAAGAATCTGATATATTTCATATTTTTAATGTATATGACTTTAAAAATTGATCAAATTTATGTTAGAGTGTAGCACTATATATATCATGATCCATCTAATAAGGATCTTCGGTACTCCAGGAATTACAATCTCTTTCACTCTCAGCGACTTTTAATCCATTACAATATACTGCTATGCGACCAATGTTATGTACACCAAAGGATCATGCCACAGGGGACTTTTTTTTATTTTGCTATGACATACTCCAGGGGTGCAGAGAGTGAAATTGATTTAAAACCCCTGGCGTGATATATAGTGCTACACTCTAACATAAATTTTGTCATTTTTCACAAGAAAGAGTGTAGAAACGTGTTATACCAATCCAAACCTTACGAATTAACAAATAAACACACAATAAATTGTACACCCTGTATCACCTGGCATGTAAAAAAACTAAGTTATTGTGCGATAACTTACCTTCAAATAGTGAGTATGGAGTGTCAGGTGTGCGACAACCATGTCTACCATAGTCACAGCACCACTCTGCAAACTACAGAAAACAAAATCAGATGTTTGGTTTCTAGTTTAAAAGAAAGTTTTTTAATTCATTATATAAGATAATGAAGCTGCAAGTTATGCTGTAATGCATATAGAGAGTATTTTCCATGAGTTTCCACTTCATTTAAGATTTTTAAGACAAGTCTAAGGAATATTCATTTTTGCAATCTGCTGGTAAGCTAAATGTTAAGACACTGAGACAGACCTAGAATCTGGCACAAGATAATTAAGAATGGCACTGTCAGATTCTGTTTCTCATATGATCAAGATATGTATTTGAAAACATTTAGGACAACACAAAAAGTAAATGGTAACAGTTTTCACTTCATTCCGCCGCTGTGAAATCACAAATGTTTTTACAAAGTCATGTCTTTTTGTGAATTCACAATTTGTGAGACAAAGTCATGTCTATTGTGAAATCACATTTGTTTTACAAAGTCATGTTTTTGTAAAATCACAATTTCTGTGACAAAGTTGCTATTTAAAGTCCCTAACTCATCCAAAAAGATGGGATTACAGCTTTTACCATCTATAAGCCAGGCAATCCCCGTCATCCATCTCTATCAAGATTTAACTTAAAAACTAAACTGAATTGTACCTGCTGTCCATTGCATAATTTTAAGAATTATAGTCATTTAAATAGAGCTTCCCTATGTATGTAAGGTGAGTAGGTACTGAGAGTATATTTTGTGGTAGACTGCCATGATATGTCCGTGTGAGGTGAGTAGGTACTGAGAGTATATTTTTGTGGTAGACTGCCACGATATGTCTGTGTAAGGTGAGTAGGTATTGAGAGTATATTTTTGTGGTAGACTGCCACGATATGTCCGTGTGAGGTGAGTAGGTACTGGGAGTATATTTTTGTAGTAGACTGCCATGATATGTCTGTGTAAGGTGAGTAGGTACTGAGAGTATATTTGTGTGGTAGACTGCAATGATAAGCCCGTGTGAGATGAGTAAGTACTGAGAGTATATTTGTGTGGTAGACTGCCACGATATGTCTGTGTAAGGTGAGTAGGTACTGAGAGTATATTTGTGTGGTAAACTGCAATGATAAGCCCGTGTGAGATGAGTAAGTACTGAGAGTATATTTGTGTGGTAGACTGCCACGATATGTCCGTGTGAGGTGAATAGGTACTGAGATAATATTTTTGTGGTAGACTGCCACGATATGTTCATGTAAGGTGATTTGGTATTGAGCGGTTATTTTTGTGGTAGACTGCCATGGTATGGCCGTGTGATGTAATTTGGTATTGAGAGTATATCTTTATGTTATGCTGCCATGTATGTTCATATAACCCTTCTTGTGAATTGATCGTGTGGAAATGAAGTATAATACTGCTGAAGTGAACTTTTATACTGACACAGAGCAAACCAACTGTCACACTTCATTAATGTTGTTGTTAATCATAGAGTAGAGAGTACAGGCTTAAAGTCTGGTAAGTCATGATCAAGAGACAAAAATCCAAAGCCTTCTTCACAGGGACTGACACTCAACTAATGGCCAAAGGTCATTGGAGATGTAAGAAAAAAAATTAGAAGATGATAAAAGAGAAGAGATCAGATCCTAAATTTAGTTGCCTATTCAAAGTCATGCAATAGGGGTACCAGGTACAAATCTTCTGCCTTAAGATAGTCCGTGTAACAAATGACGACTTACCTTGTATGCCTTGTAGAGATATTCCTGGTTGCTAGTCAGCTTGTACAACGTTAGAAAAGCGTAGGCGTTACCTGCCGTACCATGGCAGATTCCATAGCCTTTTTTTAGAATCCCACGTTCCCATATCACATCAGTACATTTCTTGGCTGCCTCCAGATACTTGGAATCACCAAATGCCTACATTAACATACAGGAATAAGGAGTTAATGTATAATTAATACTGTTAAGATGCTGATTATAAGGTTTCTGTTTTTCATCACTTTAAATGATGGCAAGAAAAAGGACCTAATCCAAGCATGAATATAATGAAAAATACACCCTTTTTGGCTTTCAATTTTTAAAGAATTGAAAAATGTGGGCAATGTTTTTTGGGGTTTACTTTCAACTTATATATGACAATAAATTTGAATGCTGTCGCCACTGGTCTGTCAAATATATCAACAATAGAAGACAATGTATATAACATCAAAACAAATACTTATAGGTCAAGGTCATTACATCCTCAATAATCTAGAGGTTATGATCACTGCACCTCTGGAACATTTCACAGCCAAATTGAAGGCACAAGTGAAATTATGTGATTGGTATAGAGTGGGGTTCAGGAGAAAAAACTGACGAATCACAGATTGTTATGTTCTATTTTTGATCACAAATGAGCAACATCCAATTTCGAATCTCGTTCAACATATGTCACTATAGACATGGATCACTATACACAGAATGTCACAGTACATCAGACATCATCAAAGGCAGGAGGCCAATGTAGACAGGGATCATTATACTCAAGATGTCACAATACACAAGACGTCAATATAGACAGGAAGTCACTATCGACAGGGATCACTATACTCAAGATGTCACAACATACAAGACGTCAATATAGACAGGAAGTCACTATCGACAGGGATCACTATACTCAAGATGTCACAACACACAAGATGTCAATATAGACAGGAAGTCACTATAGACAGGGATCACTATACTAAAGATGTCACAACACACAAGACGTCAATATTGACAGGAAGTCACTATAGACAGGGATCAATATACTAAAGATGTCACAACACACAAGACGTCAATATTGACAGGAAGTAACTATAGATAGAGCTCATTAAACACATCAGTTAAGATTATTTATTTCGCATCTAATTTCCAAGATTTTTCATCATGATCATTTGTACATGTACCACTGACACCACAAAACACTGGTTGTTACCTTATAAGCCGATACAAACAGATAGATCCAGCCTGGTGCTCCATGACACCAGTGTATCAGCTTGTCTCCATTTTCACTTTCCAGGGACGATGGACCATTTCCAGATGGGAACCTTAAACCCAGCATATAATCCACACTAGGCTTCACAAAATCTGTGATCAGGGCCTTGTACTTCCCTGTGGGATCAGTAACCTAAAAAACCAAAAGGTATCTCATATTACATTAGATATTTTAACATTTTGGCGCCCAAGTGTTAGAACCCATTCTGTTATGGTTTAAAGTATATCAATAGGTTTGACAATCAAGTCCAGTATTTGTTACAAATTTTATTTATTGAGGTATTCACAGCTTCTATTTTGATTTGCAAGGTCATCAACAACTGTTTTCTGCAAAATTAATGGCAGTGTATACCATGCAATATGGCAACATGCTAGGACTTTAGTCATTTACTTTGAATAATCTCATTTTCAATTTATTTATATGCATGAGTGCATGATTTGATTTTCTCTTCCATTTCCTTGCAGCTTTGAATTTGTCTATCTTAATTCATTCATTGCTTACTAGAAATCTACTGGAAAATACAAATTTTTGAATGAGTATAAATTTCTATAGTAGCAATAGTCTTTGATTGGTACTCTACATTCCAACTTTGCTATCAAGAAATTTCTACAAACACTGTGTAGACTGTTACTGAAATTCTTCAATATTTGTTCAAGAACTGATACTTGAAGAAGACATGACAGAAATATACTACACTGTTTCAAACACTCTTCAGTAAAGTTTTTAAAAGAAATATATTTTTAATTATTTATCAAATGTGCACTGTTTGCATTTATTGATGACACTCATCACAGTCAACAAACAAAAACAAATCATTACCTGCATCAGAGTGGTGAGGATACCTGCTAGACCATGAGCTGCTCCTAAATAGTACTTATCATGCCACTGATACATGAGAGGGTGACTGAACCCCTCCTTCCTCGACAACCCTCGCCCTCTGTCTATCACTGACTGGAAAACCTGTTAGAGACATCCATTTGCCTTCATCACAGTATATACCTGGTACTTATCATAGGCATCAACAGAAAAGAAGATGCAGACAAACCAAATGTTAAATTTGATCAATATCAGATCAGATCCTTCACTCAAAAACAAGAAGGCCTGCGTCATTCGTCTGGTGCTCAATATTTCTCTTCCATAGATTAATATATCATACCCAATAATTATAAAATAGGTTCCAAATCTATATCAACATTGTTTAAACCTGCTTCAATGCACTAGTCAGCATTTAACACTCATTAATCATCTTACTTAATTGAACATTTTCTGGAAACAAATTTGATCCCTTAAATATGGGTCAAGATCATTTCCAATTTCAAACATGTTCAGACATGCTAACAATGGACAGACTGACAACAGATACTGGACCACAGCATATAACCATTATTGGCCTATCAGATCAGGTGGGCGAAGCAGGGCAACATTGGATTTTCTTTCAAGTATTGTAACTGTGTTATGTTAAAGAAATGATATTAAATATTTCATATAAGTTAAATAATTTTGTACAAATTTGAAGTTAATGTTTATCATGTGTGCATTTTGAGAAACTGTCTCTTATGAATGTGAAGTTGTTTTAGGGGACAATTGTAAATCTACACTGTAGAGTGACAAATTTTTGCATAGAAAGTGCTGAGAATAAGCAGTCCTGATTTTGTGTTCATTTGTTTTTTGTTTGTTTTCCTTTCATATCACTTCAACTAAACTGATGTAAGATTAATTAGATTGTTAATTAAGGTAAAGCCTATATCCGTCCTTATTGTACATATATGTGAATTATCTGTCTTGTCATCTCCTAGGTGATGCTTGTCTTACCTTGTAAATGACAGAATTATCTGTCTTGTCATCGCCAAGGTGATGCTTGTCTTACCTTGTAAATAACAGAATTATCTGTCTTGTCATCTCCTAGGTGATGCTTGTCTTACATTGTAAATGACAGAATTATCTGTCTTGTCATCTCCTAGGTGATGCTTGTCTTACCTTGTAAATGACAGAATTATCTACTTTGTCATCTCCTAGGTGATGCTTGTCTTACCTTGTAAATGACAGAGTTATCTACCTTGTCATCTCTTAGGTGATGCTTGTCTTACCTTGTAAATGACAGAGTTATCTACCTTGTCATCTCCTAGGTGATGCTTGTCTTACCTTGTAAATGACAGAATTATCTGTCTTGTCATCTCCTAGGTGATACTTGTCTTACCTTGTAAATGACAGAACTATCTACCTTGCAGCTCCTAGGTGATGCTTGTCTTACCTTGTAAATGACAAAATTACCTTGTCACTAGGTGAACCTTGTAAATGACAGAATTATCTGTTGTATCTCCTAGGTGTGTGTCATTGTAAATGACAGAATTATCTACCTTGTCATCTCCTAGGTGATGCTTGTCTTACATTGTAAATAACAGAATTATCTGTCTTGTCATCTCCTCGGTGATACTTGTCTTACCTTGTAAATGACAGAATTATCTACCTTGTCATCTCCTAGGTGACGCTTGTCTTACCTTGTAAATGACAGAATTATCTACCTTGTCATCTCCTAGGTGATACTTGTCTTACCTTGTAAATGACAGAATTATCTACCTTGTCATCTCCTTGGTGATGCTTGTCTTACATTGTAAATAACAGAATTATCTGTTCATCTTAGGTGATACTTGTTTACCTTGTAAATGACAGAATATCTACCTTGCAGCTCCTAGGTGATGCTGTCTTACCTTGTAAATGACAGAATTATCTACCTTGTCATCTCCTAGGTGACGCTTGTCTTACCTTCTAAATGACAGAATTATCTACCTTGTCATCTCCTGGGTGATACTTGTCTTACCTTGTAAATGACAGAATTATCTACCTTGCAGCTCCTAGGTGATGCTTGTCTTACCTTGTAAATGACAGAATTATCTACCTTGCAGCTCCTAGGTGATGCTTGTCTTACCTTGTAAATGACAGAATTATCTACCTTGTCATCTCCTTGGTGATGCTTGTCTTACATTGTAAATAACAGAATTATCTGTCTTGTCATCTCCTAGGTGATACTTGTCTTACCTTGTAAATGACAGAACTATCTACCTTGCAGCTCCTAGGTGATGCTTGTCTTACCTTGTAAATGACAGAATTATCTACCTTGTCATCTCCTAGGTGATGCTTGTCTTACCTTCTAAATGACAGAATTATCTACCTTGTCATCTCCTGGGTGATACTTGTCTTACCTTGTAAATGACAGAATTATCTACCTTGTCATCTCCTTGGTGATGCTTGTCTTACATTGTAAATAACAGAATTATCTGTCTTGTCATCTCCTAGGTGATACTTGTCTTACCTTGTAAATGACAGAACTATCTACCTTGCAGCTCCTAGGTGATGCTTGTCTTACCTTGTAAATGACAGAATTATCTACCTTGTCATCTCCTAGGTGATGCTTGTCTTACCTTGTAAATGACAAAGTTATCTACCTTGTCATCTCCTAGGTGATGCTTGTCTTACCATGTAAATGACAGAATTATCTAACTTGTCATCTCCTAGGTGATACTTGTCTTACCTTGTAAATGACAGAACTATCTACCTTGCAGCTCCTAGGTGACGCTTGTCTTACCTTGTAATTGACAGAATTATCGACCTTGTCATCTCCTAGGTGACGCTTGACTTACATTGTCAATGACAGAATTATCTACCTTGTCATCGCCTAGGTAATGCTTGTCTTACCTTGTAAATGACAGAATTATCTACCTTGTCATCTCCTAGGTGATGCTTGTCTTACTTTGTAAATGACAGAGTTATCTACCTTGTCATTTCCTAGGTGATGCTTGTCTTACCTTGTAAATGACAGAATTATCTATCTTGTCATCTCCTAGGTGGCGCTGGACAAACAGAAGAGCAAACAGATAACCACATCGACCAAAAAGGATTTCATCAGGAAGGTTACGGTCTGAACACACACCATCATGCATAGCCTCCAATCTGTAAGGTATACAAATAGAGCAATGGATTGGTAAACACAGATGTAATTCATAAACTATAGGAAGTTGACCACACATTGTATATTTGCATAGCTTCAAAACTAATTTCTGTTTCTATAAATTGCCTATTTGGTAAAATTGATAAATAATATAGATATGCAGAAAAACGATTATGCAGCTACAACAAGGAACTCACAAAAATTATTTTTTTAAATGTTTCTCAAAATTGTATTTTGAAACTTAGAATTGCTAAATGATTCAGCTTCGTTACAGTATTTATCAAGCAATAACTAATATAAGCCAAATGCCTTGTAATAACTTCACTCAGATCCATTCATTTTAGTCCAAAATATCAACAAAGGAAACTTCAGTTGATCATTATTTTGCAATAAGCTCAATAAGACCCTACTTCTGATTTGATATCTATAACACCTAGGGCTTATCACAGGAAAAACACAGTATTGATAATAATGAACTTTATCTATTGAAGATATTAGATGTGTTCAATAAAACTTTTACATGATCATCTAAATCTGTCTATTACTATGCCTGCCTTTTTATCAGCTCTTGTGCTTTGTCAGCTTTGCCCATCTCACTGCAAACCACAGCACCTAAAGCTAGAGGCCCTGCATCACCACACAGAAACGTCACTCTCCGACCTTTAAGGTGTCGCAGATGATGCTTAATATGGCTGTATGCACGTTCCAGGTACTGTGTATCTTTTCCAAGTTTATTGTACATGTGCCAATGAAGATATGAAATGCCTATAAGAATTAAAGGGAAATAGTTTTAGTCAAGCATATATAGTGCAAAGAAAATAATTTCACTTTATCTAAATGAACTGGAGCTTGTTATTACCAATATAAAACAGAGTCACTATTGTCAGTGAAGTCTACTGTTTCAGTGTTCAGATGCCTAATGGTCCAGCAGTACACAAATTTCTACCATATACAAGAGATCCTAGAAGTACTTATCCAATTAGCCAAGCCCTTTATGCTTGTTAAGTCAGGTACCTGTGTGAATTTGTTTACATAAGGTAATTAAATATGTTAGGGTCACGATGATTGTGGTTTCCTAATTATCAATGGATCAAACCACAACTGTTTCATCGCGGTACCAGTAACCAATTTATCTTTCTGTAGAAAATCTTTTTTTTTTTTTGAATCTGACCCCAAAAAAAACCTGCGCACAATACCCGAGTGCGCACTATACCCGCAAATTTACGGTATCTTGACTCTCAACTCTTTATGATCCTTATATATTAGCTCTTTATCAGTTGGATTGCTTCTCCTCTTTTCTCTCAATCATATTTTGTATCAACAATAATGACAGGTGTATCAAACATATGGAAATAGCAATAAACATGGAGGACTATCAAACATCCACCTAGAGCAAAGTATCAAGGACCAAGGTGAATTAAACTACTAATGAATTTAAAGAACAGCCCATCTACTGAAGCATTTTGTGAAAAACGATGATACCAAGATGGTCACTTATAGAATATTTACTTTGTATCAGCTAAAATATTAAACATGCATAACTAAGGTCCAAAGTGAATCTTTTTTCTTATCAAATCATCCATTACTTCGTTAGAAATAGCAATAACAAATTTTTATTGTTCCAATTCAAGATGACCATTTATCAGCTATTTTTTTTCCTGATCAGTCGATGAATCAGACAGGCACTACAAGAGACCAATGAGAACTTACATATCAAATTTGAAAGAGATCTCTAATGCTTTTCAAGAAATAGCAATTACAATATTTCATTGTGAAAACCCTAGATGGCTGCCTGTCGCCCATTTTTTTCCTGATTACCCACAAAACTGAAAAGGTGCCATTAGAGCACAGAAGAAACCAAAATTATCCATCTAGAACTTCTCAAAATATAGTGTTAACAAACTTTCATTGTCAGAATCCAAGAAAGATGGCATACAAGCATTTTGGAGCAGAAATAGCTGTCTTTTACTACAGATTTCTAATGAGTAAAACTTGCTTGAATTTCAAGAACCTGTACACATCACTTACTGAAGCAACTAAAATTTTGCAAAAAAAAAAAATAAAATTCATTTCTCTATTGAAGATATCTTATAAAATCGTTGAGGAGATATCTTACAAAATCGTTGAGAAGATATCTTACAAAATCGTAAGTTTAAAAAATCAGTCTGACTTACCTCCCATACCGGTATACAAGGTGTAGTTTGCATCTGTATCATCGTCTAACCCTCTGTACAATTTCTGTAGCAATCTTTCTATGTGTGGCCGTAGCAGCTCTTGTTGACTTATCAATAACTGTCACATAAAATATAATATTCAATGTCTTTGCTATTGATTCATGTATAGGTTTTTTTATCTACAGTGCATTTTATCTGTAGTTATACCTGGTACTGTTGAAAAACACACGAAGCTTGGTAGTTTCAGTCTTTGTACTTAGAACACTGTTCAGGAATTGAAATAGTATAAAAGCAATGTAAGGATTCTGTCCAAGAAATGAAGTTTTATTGCAGTATGCTGACAAAAGTTGGTTATAGTTGTAATTGTGTAGTTTGTTATGTCTGAGTTCCAGAGCACATCTTTCCTCTCAGATTCCACACTAGCCAAAGTGGTTGTGACATTATATCATTGTCATCATCACCATTAATAAATCACACCACATCAGTCTGTCAGAAGACAATTATACATACTATTACGATGAATTCCTAGAAGAAGCCAAATGGGTCTTGACCAAGTGTCATGCATTTGAACTGTATTTAAAACTTAAAATGAAATTATACATGTCATTCTAGCATGTTACTCTAGCCAAGATATAACAGGGGCTTTTGAAAAATAAGAGAATCAAAATACTGTAACATGTAACCCTTCTTATCTTCAAATTTATTTAAATGAACCGTTCACTCTGCTACAGGTATACTATGATGATCAATTAGGTTTTGATAAATATTGATTAAAAGAAGTTGTTTGATAATTGTAACATATCATTCTTCTTTGACCTTGAAAGTGGATCAAGACCATTTCATTGGGAAGCCATAATTTGATGCCTATAAGACATTTGAACAAATGAGTGCAATTTGTATCTGCTTGCTAGTGACAAAATGTAATGGCCATTAGCATGGCCTTTCAGTAATTATTTTTATAGAGCAGAAGTCATTTGATGAATTTAAAACATTTGACCAATATCAATACTCACAGTATTTTGGTTACTGAGAAGTTACAATTGTATATATCTCACATTTTACCTTGACCAGTGACATTGAAAGGAAGTCAAGGTCATTCATTGACCAGACCTGGTACTCTTTACCTGAAATCACTAAGTCACAGAGATGCTTGATTTAGCTTAGAATGACCCAGAAGTACATGTGTTTTACATAAAATCATTGTTTGAACAGGAACTACATTTTGATGAAAAAGAAATCAAAATAAAATTATAGTGCAAAAATGGCAGATGTTTGTTTTTATGTATGCACCTTTTCTTCTGGGTTAAATTAATTTTCTATTGTTAATCTTTTGTTTTCTCAAATAAGCCATAATTCTCGGCAGACTTTTTTTTTGTAAAACAAACTGTTTAAAAAAAGTTGTTCTTTCATCTCTCTGTGTTCCACTAGCTAGTTAGACAAAATCAGAAATGATTCATCAAAGGAAATAATTTAAAAATCATCATTTTTCAATATAAGACATGCATGTTTGAAAGGATTTTGACATGTAAAAATGTGTATTAAGAAAATTACACAAATTTGCCAAAAAATATATACTCAAAAATGTAATAGTAAATGATTTCAATAACACATTTTCATTCTTTCTGGCAGCGTAACATGTAACATCAACCAAAATTATTCAAATGAAAGGTCAAACAAGTCAATATTATAGTTCAAATGATACGGTTCGACAAAATGTCTGTTTCAAAATACATAACAGTCTGAAACTGATGTCTAGACTCTGTATCAACAAAATATTTGAAAAGAACAAAATCAACATGACAAATGTATTCCGCTAATGTTTTCAGGCCTAACGTTCATCTTCAGGCAATACATTTATTATATTGTCTTGGTAACCACATTATGACATCATATATACTACGTAAGAGAAGGGAAGATAAAGTTATCATTTACAGTATATTGACATAACAATTATGAGTGTTTGTTATCCATCAAATATATGTAAAAGATTTTTTCAATACATTAACTTACATTTAGAGCTGGTTTAAATATTTTGACAAACATTTCCTCTATACACGGTCTTTTCGTTGTACACAAATCGGCCATTTTGTTTTCAGAATCATCGAATTTGGCCCTAGTTAGAATTCTTATGAGATTGGCTGGTCCCCGTTTACTCTAGAATTTCTGATGCTTGAACCAAATTCCGCCTTTTTTTCACTTTTATGTAACAAGGGGATAGCGTCCTTTGCTGCCTGGATTATATTGTTGTTGCAAGAATTGTGTGTTACAACAAATGGTAGGGAGGTCAGCTCAAAAAATGAACCACCTAGAAAACATTTTAAAACATGTTTTTTGGACAAAACTCAAAGAAAGAGGAATTTTGGTGCAAAAATTTTGGAAATCGGTTGAGCGGTTCAAAAGTTACATCAATTTTTGTACCTCGAAAAGCGACCCTTTTTCTGTTTTTAGCAAATAGTCCCTAAAAGAGGCATGTTTGAGGCCTTATATCTGAAAATATGGTTATGATATGTATTGTCTGATTGTTGTAGGGTGCCAAGTTCCCCTTAAGCTTCAAAAAGAAACATTTACTTAGTTTAGGTGGGGACAGATAAAAAAAAAATTGGCAGCTGAACATGAGGAATTATTCGTTTGGACTTAGTTTTTTTGAGAAATGTGTCGGCACCCCTCTTTGCTAGACTACCACTTTTGAAGAACTTTATCTTAAAAAGTAATCACCCAATTTATCCAAATCTCCTTATTTTTACAGATCACAATGCATTTTCTTGAAAAAAAATTCCAGTTAGGGTTTAAGATCATTATTTTTTTTAATATTTTGATATCAAATACCCTGCGCAGCCCCTTTTTGAGACGAAATCGAAAATTTCAGAAAAAATGACTTTTTTGATGCAGAAAGCTCAAAAAAAATCTGGAATTTTTTTTATATGGTGTTTCTTGTTGATCTTTGTATGTTTTATCAGAAAATATGTAATATTTCCCCTAAAAAATTTTTTTGAAAGCAACAGCTCCAAAATACAGCTGCCAAAGAGGTATATTTTTAGCCCCGAAAAGACGAAAAATAACATTTTTTCAGGACAAAAAGATCTTCAACTACTCCCAGGTGGTAATAAAATGACAATTTATATAAGAATGCTTATTTCTACATACAAATGATCAAGTTTTAACTCAAAACAACAATTTTTTGCAACATTTAAGGTTGTTTTTCTACGTTTTGAAAATTTTGGATAAAACCTGAAATTTGTGTTTAATCATGAAATGCGAGAAGAATATAAACTATTGTATGGTGTATAAGGTATCATTTTAAAGATAGAAATATGTAGAATGCAACTAGCACATATTTGTACCTCTATCTATTAACAGCACCAAGTATTTCTATAAAAACCTAGCCCTACCCCAAAATCAAACATTCTCAGAAGGTGAACCCCCCCCCCAATTTTTTTTTTACTCCTACAAACAATATCATTTGAGAAAAAATGTTCCTGTTGATATTAGTTCACCTTTTATAAGCCTTAAGAGTTGAAACACGGTTATTCTTGTCTTTATAAGTTTATCCTTAAGATTAAGATAAAAGCACAAAAAATAGGTAAATCTGTCATTATCTAGCATAAGTTATTTTTAACATCAATGTTAAAATTTAACGGTCATAAAAATTGTTATCTAATTAATTCATTGATAGTATTGAAAAAAAAGTAAAAACAATCATCACATACTTATCAAACTGCAAATAAAAAAGTGTATTGGATTGTAAATAAAACTTATCACACTTACCAAAAATAAAATGAAAATCAGTATATCAGAGCGTGTAAACAAACTAAAAAGAAAATAAATCAAAATAATTTTTTTTTTTTTAGAAAAAGATTTATTTAGATTAAAAATTAAATAAAATAAATCACAATTATTATTCTTCCTCTGAAAAATTTGACAACTTAAAAAGAAACCAAAATAAGGTAAAATAAAACTTAAATAAATAAAAGAGATTTTAAAAAGTGTCATAAATTAGCAAAACAATTAAAAATATAAAGAATTTCAACAAAATAAATAAAACAACTTTCTTTCACTTCAACAATACCCCCTTGCATTGATAAAGAAGGGCAGTTCTTACATTCAGAAGGAATTTAACAACCAAGATATAGACCAAAATCAACTTTCTGAGTTAAGAAGAATGGGCTAGTTGAGAGGGAGTATAATCATGATATTTTACAGAGAAAATTGTTTTCTCATCAAATGTTCATTCATTTATTTCATGGAAAATAATTTGTATTTGTGACTTAAAAGATTAAGAAAAGTAAAGTATGGTTCTGTGTTCAGAAAATGTTTTTGTTATACCCCCAAACATATTTTTCTTAACCACAGCAACTATTCCCCCCCCCCCCCCCCTTTTTTCTTTTGTTCTAAAACATACTTTTATATAAATCCTAAAGAAAATCGAATGTTTCCTTTGATATTTAACATAAAAACCCCAAAATGTTCCGAATGGACATACTGATGTCCCATTGGTCAATTTTGTTTACCGGGTCGGGAGGATTTGCACCCGGCCTGCAGCAGCAGCAAAGTTCGATAACTCATACAAACAAAACATTGTGGCAAAAGTCATTCAAATATCCAATGATTTCCGCTGGCTGCTCTTGTTATTTTGTTGAAACCTTGGTTACCAATCGCTAGATGAAGGTCCAGGCTACCATAATCCAAGTGATCCCTGTTCGCGGCGAAGTGATATCACGGTAAAAAAACACTGTTTTGCAAATTTATATTTTTTACAGTGTGATCCCTATACTTTTTCAAAAGAGATCACTCAGTTTCAAAAACTAGACTATATTTCCTAAATTTTAAGCCATTAATGGTAAAAATTGGTCCAGTAATAGCCAGCGGATTTAATTCTGAACTTGGCACACTTGTTGACACATAAATCAACATGGCGGCCGAATTTTTGGAAACGACTTCACTTCGAACTCCATGCAATGGTAGGAATTTATATCTTATTACAAAATAATTACCAAAATAAGAAAATAGAAGTCTTGAACTTTATTTTGATATATTTCTATCCCCCAACTACGCTTATTTGATATTTTAATTTTAGTGTGAAAAACCCGAAAAAATGGGGTTTTTTGCTCCAACAGAACGTAATAAGCCTGTAAATGACCGTCGCCGACCTCCCTACAAATGGTATGTTGTTGCTGTTTTCCGATGTGACTTTTGTTTTCCTTAGTTCTTCTACTGGGATAACCTGAGCCCGATTTAAACCGTTTGTTATTAATTTGTCCGGGTAGTGCTGTATAGTCAGGAAATATCGTAATTCATATGTGTGTGTACCTAATTGCTTATTAGTATTTGGTTATGATTGATCATTTTGGAGGACCGCGTGAAAAATTAGTATACTTATACTAAACATGTTACCTTCTGAAAAGAATTATTATTGTTATGCATACTCATGACATTGACTGGTTTTATTTCTCATATTTCCTTCGTGTTAAGAAAACCTTGTAATTTATTTAAAGAAAAAACATTGAAACCATGTGTGTACTAACCTTTCCGTCGTCACCGACAAGGGACTTCCCGTCGTATACAGAGAATTTGTTTTCAAATGCTCTTCCATCCATGCTTTTATGTTTTCAACTTTTCGGTTTGTTTACACCGGAAGCGGCAATGGTAGCAGTAAACAGTTAATTTGCATTTTTCCTGAAATTATTTGTCATGTTTGAGATATACAGGTATAGCAGATTGGTTATGAAAAATACATCATTACATGTATATATATTTATAAACTGTATAACAATTACATTAACAGTAGAGAGATGAAATTTGTGTAAAAAAAAAAATTCCTCTGATTTCTGACATTTGATTGTCATGGTTACCTACTGAAAAAATGCTAAAAATGCAAAAATACTGCTAATTCCAATCCAACACTACAACTTTCTAGGAGAAATTTAATTCTAATCACCTATCTTACAATCAACAACACTGTCGTGGTAACAAAGTACTTACATTTCAGCAAATTCCAACTCGGAAATTCTTCATAACATGACCACATGTAAACACTATGAAAATTTCACTTCCTGTAAAGCTAGTTTTTGGTGCGTAGACACAGATTCGAGACTGCCCAAACAGTAATCTCCAACACAAAGCTAAAATATTATCCTGAAAAAAATGAAACCCCACATTGTCCACTTTAACATGACAGGACCAATTTTAGCAAGGATTTTTTTTTTCATTTTTAATTAAAACCTTTATAATGGGGTAATCTAATGAGCAAAAAAATCACCCATGGCCACACCGAGAAACTGTGTACTGCTACCTTATACATCACAATTAGTTTTTTTAATTTCATTAAAATCCCTCTGAGTGTCTAGAAAATGATCACACGAACAAAACAATATATCGCTTTACTGTGTATCTTGAATAGCTATCGAGTAATATGGATTTTCCCGCATGGTGTGTTTTGACCAATTCTGCTCTCAAATTAGGAAGAAAGGGAGGTAATTTGAAAAATTAAAACCTCAATAAGTCTTAAATTTACTTGAATAAAGTTGCAATTGAAACTGAATCAAGTAGTTTGTGCTTCTGTGAATTTAGATAACTGAAAAGCAGATTGATACTACATATATAAAGTCTTATGTTATGACGTCATGGTAACAGCTGATGTCATCAGTACTATGACGTCATCAATTGCTAATGATGGCTTCACCAATGCACTGTGATGTCATAGTGAAGGCTAGAAATCCAACAAAAACTTCAAATTAGCATCTGACACATTTCTCGAAAGTAATTAACAGTGATATGACATAAGATATTCTTAAATGTCATGTGTATGACATCACAAACACCTATGCTTACTGCCCCCCACCCTTCTTCAAGTGTAATATTAGAAACCCTATTACATTGCAATATTGTTCGAAAAATAGTCTTTTTTACAGCAGTAACTATGGAAATGTAATTTTATGACAATATTAACATGATTGTATGCCCAATCTATGAGAAATACACACACATTATTGAGTAAAAATCATCAAAACAGAGAATTTATCCAAAATTCAAAAACTCATACTTTCCTTCTTAGTTACCATGGATACCACACCTTAAACTATTGGAATTGCCCTATAATGCAGTCTAAATACATTCTAAGGTTGTTACTGACTTATTTCATACCTGTTACCTACTGTAGAACAGTTTTCAAACTGATACCAAGCCTTTTGAAAACAGCTGAAATTCTCACCCACAAGAGCACCCAAATTACCTCCCTTTATGCACCCCTGATGAAATTAAAATAAAATCATTATGAACAAGTTTCAGTGTGTTTTTTATGTATTTATAGCAATTATGGAAAGGATTAAACTTAATTAAACATAGTAAAGCACATTTTAAATAGATTAATTTTTTTTAATGTGCTATAAGGTAGCAGTAAACAGTTAATTTGCATTTTTCCTGAAATTATTTGTCATGTTTGAGATATACAGGTATAGCAGATTGGTTATGAAAAATACATCATTACATGTATATATATTTATAAACTGTATAACAATTACATTAACAGTAGAGAGATGAAATTTGTGTAAAAAAAAAAATTCCTCTGATTTCTGACATTTGATTGTCATGGTTACCTACTGAAAAAATGCTAAAAATGCAAAAATACTGCTAATTCCAATCCAACACTACAACTTTCTAGGAGAAATTTAATTCTAATCACCTATCTTACAATCAACAACACTGTCGTGGTAACAAAGTACTTACATTTCAGCAAATTCCAACTCGGAAATTCTTCATAACATGACCACATGTAAACACTATGAAAATTTCACTTCCTGTAAAGCTAGTTTTTGGTGCGTAGACACAGATTCGAGACTGCCCAAACAGTAATCTCCAACACAAAGCTAAAATATTATCCTGAAAAAAATGAAACCCCACATTGTCCACTTTAACATGACAGGACCAATTTTAGCAAGGATTTTTTTTTTCATTTTTAATTAAAACCTTTATAATGGGGTAATCTAATGAGCAAAAAAATCACCCATGGCCACACCGAGAAACTGTGTACTGCTACCTTATACATCACAATTAGTTTTTTTAATTTCATTAAAATCCCTCTGAGTGTCTAGAAAATGATCACACGAACAAAACAATATATCGCTTTACTGTGTATCTTGAATAGCTATCGAGTAATATGGATTTTCCCGCATGGTGTGTTTTGACCAATTCTGCTCTCAAATTAGGAAGAAAGGGAGGTAATTTGAAAAATTAAAACCTCAATAAGTCTTAAATTTACTTGAATAAAGTTGCAATTGAAACTGAATCAAGTAGTTTGTGCTTCTGTGAATTTAGATAACTGAAAAGCAGATTGATACTACATATATAAAGTCTTATGTTATGACGTCATGGTAACAGCTGATGTCATCAGTACTATGACGTCATCAATTGCTAATGATGGCTTCACCAATGCACTGTGATGTCATAGTGAAGGCTAGAAATCCAACAAAAACTTCAAATTAGCATCTGACACATTTCTCGAAAGTAATTAACAGTGATATGACATAAGATTCTTAAATGTCATGTGTATGACATCACAAACACCTATGCTTACTGCCCCCCACCCTTCTTCAAGTGTAATATTAGAAACCCTATTACATTGCAATATTGTTCGAAAAATAGTCTTTTTTACAGCAGTAACTATGGAAATGTAATTTTATGACAATATTAACATGATTGTATGCCCAATCTATGAGAAATACACACACATTATTGAGTAAAAATCATCAAAACAGAGAATTTATCCAAAATTCAAAAACTCATAAGTTACCATGGATACCACACCTTAAACTATTGGAACCAATGCACTGTGATGCACTTTGACCCACTTAGTTACCATGGATACCACACCTAATAACCAAAAGGCACTTCAAATTAGCATCTGACACATTTCTCGAAAGTAATTAACAGTGATATGACATAAGATATTCTTAAATGTCATGTGTATGACATCACAAACACCTATGCTTACTGCCCCCCACCCTTCTTCAAGTGTAATATTAGAAACCCTATTACATTGCAATATTGTTCGAAAAATAGTCTTTTTTACAGCAGTAACTATGGAAATGTAATTTTATGACAATATTAACATGATTGTATGCCCAATCTATGAGAAATACACACACATTATTGAGTAAAAATCATCAAAACAGAGAATTTATCCAAAATTCAAAAACTCATACTTTCCTTCTTAGTTACCATGGATACCACACCTTAAACTATTGGAATTGCCCTATAATGCAGTCTAAATACATTCTAAGGTTGTTACTGACTTATTTCATACCTGTTACCTACTGTAGAACAGTTTTCAAACTGATACCAAGCCTTTTGAAAACAGCTGAAATTCTCACCCACAAGAGCACCCAAATTACCTCCCTTTATGCACCCCTGATGAAATTAAAATAAAATCATTATGAACAAGTTTCAGTGTGTTTTTTATGTATTTATAGCAATTATGGAAAGGATTAAACTTAATTAAACATAGTAAAGCACATTTTAAATAGATTAATTTTTTTTAATGTGCTATAAGGTAGCAGTAAACAGTTAATTTGCATTTTTCCTGAAATTATTTGTCATGTTTGAGATATACAGGTATAGCAGATTGGTTATGAAAAATACATCATTACATGTATATATATTTATAAACTGTATAACAATTACATTAACAGTAGAGAGATGAAATTTGTGTAAAAAAAAAAATTCCTCTGATTTCTGACATTTGATTGTCATGGTTACCTACTGAAAAAATGCTAAAAATGCAAAAATACTGCTAATTCCAATCCAACACTACAACTTTCTAGGAGAAATTTAATTCTAATCACCTATCTTACAATCAACAACACTGTCGTGGTAACAAAGTACTTACATTTCAGCAAATTCCAACTCGGAAATTCTTCATAACATGACCACATGTAAACACTATGAAAATTTCACTTCCTGTAAAGCTAGTTTTTGGTGCGTAGACACAGATTCGAGACTGCCCAAATAGTAATCTCCAACACAAAGCTAAAATATTATCCTGAAAAAAATGAAACCCCACATTGTCCACTTTAACATGACAGGACCAATTTTAGCAAGGATTTTTTTTTTCATTTTTAATTAAAACCTTTATAATGGGGTAATCTAATGAGCAAAAAAATCACCCATGGCCACACCGAGAAACTGTGTACTGCTACCTTATACATCACAATTAGTTTTTTTAATTTCATTAAAATCCCTCTGAGTGTCTAGAAAATGATCACACGAACAAAACAATATATCGCTTTACTGTGTATCTTGAATAGCTATCGAGTAATATGGATTTTCCCGCATGGTGTGTTTTGACCAATTCTGCTCTCAAATTAGGAAGAAAGGGAGGTAATTTGAAAAATTAAAACCTCAATAAGTCTTAAATTTACTTGAATAAAGTTGCAATTGAAACTGAATCAAGTAGTTTGTGCTTCTGTGAATTTAGATAACTGAAAAGCAGATTGATACTACATATATAAAGTCTTATGTTATGACGTCATGGTAACAGCTGATGTCATCAGTACTATGACGTCATCAATTGCTAATGATGGCTTCACCAATGCACTGTGATGTCATAGTGAAGGCTAGAAATCCAACAAA